TGTTCCCCACTCTGACTCTGGTGAATCCTCTCACCCCCCACACCTCTGTCCAGTACCCCAGCTCTTGTATGCGTAAATAAATAAATCTTAAAAAATATATAAATAAATAAAAAGAGTCAAGATGAGACCATTAAAAGCAAAACAAACAAAAACTAAGAGGAGCATAAAGAAATGATGAAAATGATAGAGAAGATGTGACACAGCACCTACACTGTCCTAGAGAAGATTGTGCAGAAGCCCACATAAACCCAACCAAGTCAACAACCATTGCCATAATAGTCTAGCTCAGTTTTCCTCCTCCTTTCACTTTCAATAACATCCATTCCTTTCCTGTGCAAATGAATTCCCTAAAACCAAAAGTATCTTCCCCTTTTAAAGAGAAACATTTCCTATGTTTTTGCAATCCTCATCTTTGAATATGGATAGGGTAGTTCCTTTTCCATAATGTACCTCTACATTTTATTTCTATCTAATTTTATGTTTCCATTGCACATAGGTGGAGATAGACTTTTGTAGGGAGGCCGTTCATAGCACTGGAGAGGGAGATGTGGCATCAGCTGCCTGAGTGCCACCGGCCCCTGTGCTACTTGTTGTCAATCCAAGTGGATTTCTCTATAGAGATGAGGAAATTTCACTTTGCTTCAGAGGCGGTGCCATCTGTTAGTGCTACAAGAAAGTAGCACTGATATATGATTCATTAGCTTATGTATATTCTAATATAATCCATGAGTTAAAAATCATTTCTTCAGACCTTTGTGGATCTTATGACTCATTTTGGAATATTCTTCCCTTATTTCCATTTTGTTATTTGGCTCCAGAATCAAAATTAGAAGCTGAAATGAATATTTTATGACCCACACTGTCTCCTGGTTCTCCTATGCATAATATCAAGTATTTGTAATTAAATAAAAGGAAGTGAAGAATTTCAGAAATGCATAGTATTCAAAACTAAAGCAGCTTAGAAAGGATTGAATTTCTAGATATGGGATCTTTATTCCTATGTAATCCATGTTTTCCCTTAAATCCAGGACTAACATTTACTTTGATATACCCCATTTAATATATAGATCCTCCACTGCCCTGTAAAAAAAAAAAAAAAAAAAAATTACACTCATCGCTAACACTGGTGTCCCATGCTTGCCTGAAAACAAATACTATTAGGAGATCAATGACTGCTTCCATTTTCTTCTTTTTCTGTTCTAAATCTCAGTGATGTTCATGAAGCTCCAAAAAGGAATCTCTTCTCTCCTGAATTGGCAAAGAACTACCCCTTCATGTGCAATCCTCTTGTATGCTGCTGTTTCTGGGCTACTGCTCAGGAATCCCACCCACCCAACCCCAGCCCCAAATTGAACTCAGAAGGTAATGAGGCTAAGCCAGATATTTTGGAACCCTAAACCTCTGAAGCTCTGCTGTGTTCCAAGAAGCAAGGAGATAATATTTCTCCAAATTTTATGTCACACACTGTTATCCAAAGAATGTGCAATATCGAAGCTCTAGTATTTATTTTAGTAATTGCTTATAAAATTCTTTCTCCCCAGGAATAAAAGAGGTCTTGTGGCATTGTTGCAAAGTGACGGACAATACAACTTCATTGTTTACTTTCTCATAAAATCTTCACTCATAGCCAGTGCTTTGGGGGTTACTAGAGCTTTGCTGGAGAAAGGAAGAAGGAGAGAAGGGCTACTACAGTGAGCTAAAGGCAAGAATAGGTTATGAAGACTACAGATGCCTCCCTTTGTGTAAAAATATGTACAAAGTGTCTCTGCCAATCAGTTTCTTCCCACCCACCATGTGTTTCTCCAGCTCCCACAATGGCTTGGAGAACATCAAAGAAAATTTATTTTAAGCTGTCTGTCAGAATAATGTAATATTTTTGTTGCTGCTGGCTGTGTCATATTGAACACTAGTTATAAAAGGTGAAAGGGGGCAGAAAACACACTGAGGAGTTATAAGATTGAACCATTTGACTCTGTATTTTGGTAATAGCAGATTAGGAAGAAAGACAAAGTAAAGGGAAGGGAAATGTTAAAAAGTCTTGGTATTCTTGAGTAAACAAGAGGGAAAGACTGAGCAGGGCACAATGCAGAAAATCTGTGAGTAGCTCCAACACCAAGGAGATGAGGCAGGAACCTGAATCAATTGACAGCTGGGCAGAAATAACTGGCAGATTTGACCACATTAAATGTATAGTTATTTATCACCAAAGTAATGAATGCAACTCCCCAAAACTCAGTCACTTAATGAGAGCCTCCTGGTGGTGTGAGAGGTTACGACGCAGCACTATGAAGCAATCCACAGCCACTGCAGCACAAGTTCAATCCTCGGCCAGGGAGGTGACCCACATGGCGCAGCAGACCTCTCAAGACTGTCTTGCCCACTGCTCCTCTCAGCAGTGTATTTCAGTCAGTCTGCCTGTTCTGCTCCCCACTCTGTCTCTGGTGAATCCTCTCACCATCCTGCACATCTGGCCTGTACCCCAGTTCTTATAGCGTAAATAAATAAATCTTAAAGAAAACAACAAAACTCAGACACTTAACAAGCAATAAGTAGATTTACCTGAAACGTTATGTGTTGGCAGTAAGTGCTGGGATCAGCTGGATGGTTCTTCTGCTTTCAGCAGGGCTCACTCACGAATGTGAGTGATGGCTCGCTGTTAGCTGATCATGACTGACTCCACTTGAGGTGACTGGGGTGACTAGAATCTGCTCCACATGACCGTCATCCTCAAAAAACTCACCCAGGTGTTCATGGCTATTAGAGAGATGCAAGAGAGAGTGTTCCTGATATGAAAAGACCACTTTAAGCCTCTGCTTGCAACAGGTCAGCTGACATCCTATTGGATAAATCAAGTCACATAGCTGAGCCCAGCTGCAAGGAATGGTACATGTCTCTACGGTGACAAGTGCCATATTGAAAAGTCTCCTGGCAAAGGAGATGGTGGGAAGATGGAAGAACTGGTTCATCGGTGCCACCTACCACATTAGTCATCAGGTGGATCTGCCATTTCAGTGTTATCAGACTCACACGCAAAACAGTGATATGATCAAGACTAGGAGATCTTCATATTTGGAATAAAGCTGAGTGACTAGGAAACTATTGACTACAAGATCTCTTTAGTAAGTGGTACACAGGAGAAAAATAAGGCCTATTCTAAGCACTAGTACACCTTAATCTGTTTTCTCAGGGTAACTCTTAATGAAGTATTTCACTTCATTAAGGTTTTTTTTTTTAATATTTATACAAGAACTGGGGTATAGGCCAGAGTACAGGGGTGGTGGTGATGAGAGGATTCACCAGAAACAGAGTGGGGAACAGAACAGGCAGATTGACTGAAATACACTGCTGAGGGGAGCAGCAGGAGAGAAAGGAGAGGCCTGCCGCTCCATATGGGCATCTCTCCAGCTGGTGGGGATGGAATCTGTGCTCTAGAGGCTGTGGAAAACCTCATAGCTCGGCTCTCAACTGCCTGCGCCACCAGGGGAGGCCTGTTACATAACATTTGCATAACACTTTACCATGTGCCATGTGTGTCACAGAAATGTTTGGAAATTATCATCACAACAGCCTACGGAGAGTGGTGCTATGATTACAGTTTATTAGGAGGTAGTTGGGTGTCAGTAACAGATGTATCCCACAAACCAAACTAAGAAACTGAAATATGGAAAGTTTCAACAGTACCCGGGCAAGCAAACAGGTTTTGGTTAAACTGACTGATGATTGCACTGAAGTAAGTAAACTAAACAGATGTTTTAGCAGCATGTTTTAGTAGTGTCAAAGCATATCAAGTTATTTTTACAAGACCAATTCATTTACCTCAGATTGTGATAGATGAGTTGGTATTATAACTAAAGATCTCCAAGTTTTGTATGTGGTAAAACACCCTGTGACTTAAAATATACAACCTCAATGAACTTGGGTTTAAATTGGGTTCCTCCAGAAGTTGATCCTCAGACAAGGAGGAGGTTGAGGTTGAATGTTGAGGAACATTGCCTTTGAAGGGTGGGTTGTTACGCTAGCTACCATTGTGGATGACTGGAGCTTCACCCCCATAGAGAATTCTGGGTATTATGTAGAACACACACCTCAGAGTTTATCTCCAGAGGGAGAGGAAGCTGGGGTGTTGTGTCCTGAATCTTTGCAGTCACAGACAACATCTGCTCTTGGGGTGAATTAATTTTCAACACTATTGACCTTCCATGTGCTTGGATAGAGCAGCTTTCAGCAGCTTCCGAGAAGTCCCCAGGAAAGATTTAGGTGTTGACACTAGGAAATAGGTAGGTGTGACTAAGTGCTAAGACCCAAAATGTGAATCAAACCTGGCAAAGTTTACTGCACACACTTAATGACACCAGAACAAATCAACTTAAAAATGGAATAGAAGCATGTTTGTACAATACCTTTTTCTGAAGTCAAATAAAAACAAAGAAAATAGAAATTGATGAGAGAGAAAAGAAGATTAATTCTAAACAAGGGACAAAAGCCACCAGGTTTTTTATATAAGGAAAATTTATTTATTTATTGTTATTTTTTTAATTAATTTTTTAAATTTTTTTACATCATTGTTCATTTTTATTTTTTAAATTTTTTTATTATTTTTTACATCATTTATAGCAGGATTTAGAACACTTAAATAAGGGACCAGGAATAAGACTAATTATAATAAAGAAAAAATCAAAATCAACAAGCAACTATAAACCAGAGACACATTACGGGGCAGGGGGAGGTGGGAGAAGAGAGGAGAGGAGGGATTAGGGTCAAAATAAGGGGGGGTGGGAATTGTATGGGAAATATAACCAAAATGAAAATGCATACATTGTGCAAAATTGAAAAATGATATAAGAATTACATAAAATAAAATATATTACAAAAATAATAAAATTATAAATAATAAATTATAGTAAATAATAAATAATAATAATTATAATAAATAATTAAAACATAAAAATAATAATAAATTATTTTTTTACATTTTACATCATTGTTCATTTTTAAATGATATTTGCTTCTCCCCACCCTCTCAGGTGTAGTCCCCATAGAGTTTCCTTCACCAATACCTCAGTCCCCAGTGCTCCTCCCTCCTTCCCTCTGATCCCTCTCCCGCCTCCTTTCTTGCAGGATGTCTCTGATTTATAATTGTCCATTTTTGCTTTGTTGTGTTTGTACTGTTATTATTTTTTTAGACTGATGTCTAATTTTGTTCCCCTATATTCCTGCTATAAATGAAACCAATCGATATTTTTTCTTTTTCCTTCTGGCTTATTTCACTGAGCATAATTCCTTCTAGCTCCATCCACATTGTTGCAAATGGCAGAGTTTATCTTTTCTGATTGCTGAATAATACTCTATTGTGTACATAGACCAATCTTCTTGATCCAGTCATCTATTTTTGGGCATTTGGGTTGTTTCCAGGTTTTACCTATTGTAAATAGTGCTGCAATAAACATAGGTGTACAGGTGTTCTTTTGAATCAGTGCTGCAATAAACATAGGTGTACAGGTGTTCTTTTGAATCATTGTGTTTGTGTCCTTTGGGTAGATCCCTAGGAGTGGAATTGCCAGGTCGTATAGTAGCTCCATTTTTAGTAGACTGAGGAACCTCCAGACAGCTTTCCATAGTGGTTGGACCAGTTTGCACTCCCACCAGCAGTGTAGCAGAATTCCTTTTTCACCACGTCCACACCAACATTTGTTATTGCTAAGTAAGAAAAATTTATTTGTTATTTGTTATTTATTTGTTATTTGTTATAAGCATTTGTTATTGCTAAGTAAGAAAAATAAAATACAGAATTATGAATTACTTGGAGGTAGTTATGTGTCAGACGGGGACAAGAAAACTCTAAAAAGTCCAAAGGCACAAGTATAAAAATCAACCACTCGTTTTATACCCAATGATCAATGAAAGAACTAAGGCCAAGGAGAAGTGTTCTCCCCACACTATCCTCAAGGCTGAGATTCCAGAGAGAGAGAAGATGAAAACTCTGTCTTTCGTGATATCAATGCCAAAGAAGCCTCCCTGAGAACATGCTGATGGAAGATGGTGTTCAGAACCCGGAAGGACAGATGCTGGGCCCCTCCCGCCATGTGTTTTAAGTACCAACACAACCTGCTTGACCACACCATAGTTAGTCTTCCTACATGGAATCCTTTCTCATTTTCTTCCATTCCAATGCCCATTTTTCAAGGTCTGTCCTAGATGCTCTCCAATCCATACAATCTTCCCAAGTCCACAGGACAGAAATACTATCACAGGGCAAGACTCGGTGTCTATCATTGTACACTCATCGTTTATGATTGCCTCAAGTGATAAAAAAGCATAAACGTATCTCCTGATTATTTCTTTCCTTCCTAGGAGACTAAAGAATTTTTTTTTCACATTCCAATGCTTTAGAACTGCAGAGTCCAATACAGTAACTTGGGGCTATATGAGCGATTCATATGTGGCTAGTCCGCACTGAGATGCTCTGTAAGTGCAAAATTAAAACTAGATTTCAGTAATTTAGCATGGAAAAAATAACATAAAAGCCCATTACTAGCTATTTAATGTTGATTACATTTCAAAATATTATTTTGAATGCAATACATTAAATAAAATAATTATTAAAATTAAACACCTATTCCTTTTACTTTTTTAAAAAAAGATTTATTTATACAAGCACAGGGGTACAGGCCAGAGGCATGGGAAGGTGAGAGAATTCACCAGAGACAGAGTGGGGGACAGAACAGATGGACCAAAGACTCTGCTGAGGGGAGCAGCGGGTGAGACAGGAGAGGTCTGCTGCGCCATGTGGGGATCTCCCTGGCCAGCCGGGAATCGAACCTGTGCTGCAGAGGCTGTAGACAGCTTTACAGCACTGTACTCAACTCGCTGCACCACCAGGGAGGCCCTTCCTTTTACTTTTTTTAATATGACTACTAGAAAATTTAAAATTACATATGTGCTCACACCATATGTCTCCTGGACAGTTCAACCTTAGAACATCCATATATTAGTAGATACTTGATAATGTTTGATGAATCAGTGAAGGAAGTGAATCTCCACCTTCTCTGGAGATTCCAAAATGTTTGAATTTCATGACTCAGTAGGTTTGTGCATTTTAATTTAATATGGTGATCAAAATTTTTTATTCTACGTAAAGTAAATGTAAAACCAAAGGAATTATCTGCTATAGACATCATTTTGTAAAAGAAATGAAACATTTGAATACTCAGAGGTGGGCAGTAAATGATTTCAAATTAAACAGAACACAATTTCTTTACAACAAACAAAAGAAAGAGTATAAATTTAAATTTTCAAGTGGAAAGCAGGTGCATATACTTTGAGTTATTATATTGTGAGCCATTGTTTTCTTGACACAATTATCAGCATTAGGGAAGCTATGTCGCAGGAAGTGGAGCTGCTGGGTCCCATTTGTCAGTTCTTTACTTTGATAATACTTGTTGAAAATCCATTTTGGCTAAGGAAGCAGCGTAAATGGGATGGATACAGTTCTTACCATTTCAGTCCATTTGGAATGTTCCAGAGTGACTGACTGCTGCCAGGAAATAAAAGGACTCAATCCTCACACATAAGCCACTCCAGTTAGCATTCCTGGCTGCAGTTACCAAATGCACCCATGTTCTCTTTACAGTTGGAACAGACTGGGCATCTAGCTTTTCAATCCTGGGGTCCAGAGCGGCACAGGGCTGAACACTCATCCAGTGACTCCCCGGAACTTAGACCAGGGTGGCTCAACATGAAAGAACAGGAATATATCTGATAAGGATGCCATTCCTGTAAACAGTTTCAGAGAAAATACTGTGTATTTGGAGCAACTACCAGTGTCTAATGCCAGAGACCAGCTCTGGTGAACAGGGTTGAGGAAAGGGATCCAAAAGAACCTGGAAATAAAGAACTGACGGACACAAAATTGAGTTTAAGAGAAGCGGGACCCAGGAGATGCAAGGTCTCTCACTGCGGGCTCAAGCATCCCAAGTGCCCAGTGCAACTCATTTTTATCGATACAAACCACCCCCCTCAAAAAGCAACTCCAGGATCGAGTAGAACTCAGTTCCAAATACAACCAAACAAGTTTGCAGACATAGCCAAGGAGCAAGTTGCAGGATGGATGGAAAATTACTAAGATGAAATGTCAAGTCTAGGAGGGATTCTGATTGAAGTGACCCAATAGGATTCTTGATGTAGGGAGTCTGGGGTAACCAGATAGCCCCTGGGCAGAGACTCGGAGTCGGGACTAGGAGTTTGAAAGTGGAGAATCCTCGCTCACCTCTCTTTGTAGCATTCTCATTAAAACTAGATTTTAAAAGGAAGCACACAGATAAGCCTTGTTGGAAGTGAGGCTTGAGGGGGCCTGATTAAAGTTTGGACAAGCATAGACTATTTAGCAAATTCTCATCCATTTACAATATTAGCTAGATCCACAAGTGGGGTAGAATCACTCTTCATTAATCCACAGATTAACATAATCACTGCCTTCCAGTCCCCTCTGTCCCTCATCTGAGACTTGTATACACCCTACATCCAAATGTCCTGTGCTCACAGGGCATTGGATGTGGAGAGAAGAATGTGTTCGTGTAATAGCTGCCGAGACGGCTATTTCAGCTTTAGCTTTTTAGGCTCCTCTGTTCCTCCTCTGATGCTGGGAGATCATCATGGGAGATCATCACCAGCCAATTGAAAGGATTTTAAGCTGGATTGAACAAACGTTATCTTCCATATGGTAAACTGCACTTTTAGTCAGAGCTTCTGTTTGCTTCACAGCGCTCCAGAAGGCAAGGACATTTTCTCAAAGCCTCGCTCCAATGATAGAAGATAAAAATAATGGAAAATAAAAATTTTTGTAAAAATCTATTTTCCAGGAAAGTCATTGCCATTGATGCAGTCTTTTCTTCACACTCTGTTTCTTGTGCTGCTCCTGGAATGTCTCTTATTTATAAATGTCTGAAAAGAATGTTTTTTTTATAAAAAAATCTTTCTTGATGATCTTAGGGATAAATAAGACAGACATCTAGCAGTCTAGGAATACAGCTGTCTGACATTTACAATAATATGCACTGAAATCCAGGTTTATAACATCAGCCTCTCCAGTATTTATTTCCACCTGGATTATGTGGGTGGTTCTCCCACACAGGTAAGGGTGGACCCTACCTTGGCAGCCTGGACCAATCCCAATCTGAGAGTATTTTTATGTAACAAGTGAGAAAGTTGGAGGGAAAAGAGTTTGCCTTTCTAACATCCATCAACTGTGTATTTAAGCATATAATTATTATTTTTTAAGATATATTTATTTATTTATACAAGCACTGGTTACAGTCAGAAGCGCGGGAGAGTGAGAGAATTCACCAGAGCCAGAGTGGGGAGCAGAGCAGGCAGACTAATGAAGTACACTGCTGAGGGGAGCAGCGGGCATGGCAAGATAGGTCTGCGCGCCATGTGGGACCCTCGCTGGTGGCCAAGGATGGAACCGGCACTGCAGAGGCTGCAGGCAGCTTCACAGCCCAGCGCTCAACCACTGTGCCACCCGGGGAGGCCCAAGTATATAATTATTTATTGGCATTAGTGGCATGACATTTTCGTGATGTCTGATTTCCATGCTTAAACAAATATACAGACTAAAATACAGTCAGGATCAATGCTACAATTTGTTATCTTTCTCATACCAAACCTTGCCTATTTCCACTCACTCTGGGGTCTACCCTGTTAAGAATCTTTCTACCATCTGTATAATCTATTAGAACACTGAGCGCCCAGAAACATGAGTTTCATTTGACCTTCATCTGCTTACTTTCTTATTAAAGAGGTAGTTGTAAAAAGATCAACACTACAGTTAACATTTCTTCTAACTACGCCAGTGTCAGCCATCCCTCCTCCCTCCCTCCCTCTCTCCCTCCCTCCCTCCATCTCTCCCTCTTTCCTTCCCTCCCTTCCTTTCCATTCTCCTACTTAGAAAACCTTTTTGCTTCAAGTGATTTGGTCAGAGCCAAAAGAAAATCACCCTGAAATATGCTGGAGTCAGGGTTTCCTGACCTTTGACGTTTAAATGGCTTAAATTACTTAGCTCTAAATACCAAAGATTAACTCCTAACCACATAAGAGTCTTCTAGCCCACTCTAAACCCACATCTAAAAGATGTTTCCCCTCCCCCTATTTTTAATGCATTTAAGCAGAATAGTTTGCAGAGAGCTTGCCAGCTTGCTCACAAGCACGCATTTTGAGGTACTAAATAGGAGAAATATGCCACCTCTCTTTTACAGATTTTTAAACAGTCAACCTTCATGTCCTGCTGGATGGTAATCTGTTATGCATTTGTGTAGCAGAATTCAGGGCAGACGTAGCTGTTTAGAAAGCACTAAAATTTTTCCCATCCATGGGAGTTTAAATCTGTCAAAAATACTATAACTTTAGTCATGAGGAGGAAAAAGCAGACAAATGTCGTGTGTGTCTCCCACAGTCTCTGGCTCAAAACCCACTCGGTTCTGAAATAATCTCCCACATGATTTCACAGATTTTACGAATGCAAAGCAAGCTCCACGAAACTATTACAAAACTAAGAGTAGAATCAAGAACATCGAAATTCTGGTATTTACCCGAAGAAGCATATCACGCTATGTTTATGAGACAATTTACAAATGCCTGAGCTGCAGCTGCTTTTCTCTCCTCTTTTTCCAGTTCTTTTCCTCATCCTACTCTTAATTCAA